TTCATAGTATAGTTTAGAATAGTTTTTCAAAAATAAATTGGATTAAAAATTAGGGAGGGGTGTGGGAAATGTGTAGTTCTAAAATCGGTAAATCCCGATTTGTGCAGTCGGCTAAAACCACAAATATACAGTTATGAAGCAAGCGAAAATATAACCGTAAAATATGTTGAAATATGTTTGTCATTTCCCTTGTGGATGCTCCAAAAAATGCATGCAATCATTCATGCAGTGATTCAAGGGGAGGATCTCAAAACCCGTACGTATATCTCCTTTAGAAAACACTTAATTACTTATCACTTATTGGGTCCGGGTGGTGTGAACAGGAATGCATGAAAGTGGGGTGAGCTGAGCGATCGCGATTAGAGTGGGAGAACTTTTAAGCCTAAAAGTATTCTTCGCTGTCTCAAATGCAAACTTATTATTTAGTTTATTTATTTACCTTGCCATGATATACTTACACATTCATTAATTTGGCTGGGAAACCACAACAGCTATTGCCAATTACAGCAGCCCCAACAGTTATATATATACGAAAACAATTTACTAGGTATACTGTACTACAAGCACACACAATGCAATAAACAATACTTGAACAACGTATAGTCAGTTGCAACGGAGAGCTCGTCATACTCCGGGCGGAATTTCTAATACTAAAATATAGTACTTAAAAAGGAGATTCTTGAATTCTGAAAATGTTCGGTCTTAATTTGGATGTAATATGAGTTAGGTAGTGTGTTCCATATTCTTGTTGTTCGGACTTCGGATTTTGTACGATTTTTTATAGGTTGACGTCTTGTATGACGGAATTTTATATTTGTGCGAGTTGGGGTTAAATGATCTTGTCTGTTTTTGACCCTGAGGTTGAGGAAATTGAAGGATTTTCTTATCAATATTAAAAATGTCGCGCGATTTGCCTTACAGAAGAACACTACGCCCGGGTATTCGTGCCAGTAGCTGAGAGGAAGCAAACTGCTTGCAAGGAGTCGGTCTCTACTATTCTATATATCACAAATAAAGAGAACATTAAAATATATTTTGTTGCACGCCTCTGAACTCGTTCTACTTTTTTCACCAACTCAACTGTTTGGAGCGCCCATACTTGGGTGGCATATCCTAAGTGTGAGCGAACCAGAGAAAGGTACAGCCGGTGTTCGTCGAATTGCAAACTCGCGAAATTTAAAGTTGATCTTCGAATATAACCCAACATCTTAATTATTAGCTTTGTTACTTGTTGTGTAACTTGCTTTGACCAGGTGAGATCGTAATTCGTCCATACTACTAAATCGAGTTCGCAATCAGTTTTTTCTAGTGTAGTATCTTGTAGTTGGTAAGGGAAATATATTTGCATTGGATGAGGAGGAATTAAAGTTGAGAAGATCATTTTGTAACAACATTGCATCGGTCCTGGAGTTAATCACTATAAAAATCTTAGTGTCATCAGCGAAAGCTGCTACGTTCGAATCGTTCTACGTTGAATGCTCACGATTCCGCGTTACGTGGTTTGAAACAGTTGTTGTACGTGCGTGTTTAAGTTTATTAACCATACAGGATTGTGCAAGTCAACTCAGACAAACTTCCTGAGACTGCAGGAAGTGCCACATATAAGAGACTCTAGATTTCAACATTTTCTATGTCGGAAAGATGCCCACGGCCTGCCCCCTTGCCACTCAAGTAACTTTCTGTCACCTATGCAAATTAATTAATTAGTGAAGAGTCCATCATACATCCCGATTGATTCAACCTTTAACGTTGAAAAACTAATTCGGGTAAAATGATTTTACTAAAAAGAGTAAAATCCTCTAACCCCGCCAACCCCTTTTCATCCTTTTCATCCTTGTGAGCAGACGATGACGGACATCTTCCCTGGAATGCTGGAAGTAGTGATAGACCCCATCTGGAGACCAAAGTGATGCCGCCAATGACGTCACTTTGCTCCGGAAGTGATTAGTATGCAAAATCTATGGCGTCACTTTGCTGGGCAAGCCTGGAACCAAATGTGACAGGTAGCGCGATCAATTAAGGCGGGCAAGCCTGAGCCAAATATCACTTTGCTGGGCAAGCCTGGGCCAAATGTGACAGGTAACGCGACCAAATGGCCGAAACAGTCGTTAAGCAGAGCTCGGAATTTTCATTACAAAAGACAACGCTTGCTATATATATGTGCATAAATTCGTTTGAGAATCATTTCGCTGTGAAAGTCATACGATGGAGTGTCTGCATGGAAAAGCCGCGTCTTACATTAATTTATTGGAAGGAATATATGCGAATGCAGTCGCACAAGAAGTTGAAAGACTTTGTGTGGAATCCTGTAACGGTTGTCAAGGCGGTCATCTTAGTCAAAGGCAATTAACATGACTGCCTCGTGATGAACGAAAACGCCAACGATGGCAGATGTATGGTTTACAAAGGATCGAACGAGTGAATGCTAAGCGCGTATGGTTTGGAGTGAATTCGTTGAGGCAATGAGGGTACTTAAACTGAGGTTTGACAGAGATGTACT